AATGTCCCACAACGACGCCACAACAGCACGAGCTCCTGCAGCAAGAAAGGCTCGACTCATTCCAACCACTCCCTCTGCCCTGATGTCCCCACGACCACTGTAACAGCAGCTTAGGACAACAAGTTKTGCTGTAACACCAATCTCTTGTACCTCCTGCATTGTTAACATGTAGTCTTGTTCGCCTGGGATACCTGTTGCATCTGTTCTTKGTGAAGGGGCAAGGACTATGTGTCCATGTTCRGGGTCTCCATGTGCTGCAATATGAATGACAGCAACACCTTCTCGTAGTTTCTTCATGACCATTTCTTTGGTTGCTTGTGCTCCAGTCAAAGGCTTGGCATTGAGCATGGCTGCAATAACATCAGCCTCGATTTTTGCCGATGGAAGGCGATCGAATTGTTTCTTTTCATTCTTATATACAACGTCCCAAACTTCGGGATCTCCAACAACAACAGCACCTTTGTTAAGGTGCTGGTCTCCTGCACTGTTTTTCCATGTTCTTAAAGATAATAATGATGGTGAGATACGAATACGYTTTGTTTCAGACAAATATTTCCCTGTATTTGGATCAATCAGAGCTGCAAATGGTATCTTATACAAAGGCCCCTCCGGAATGATGACGATCTCTTCTTCYTGGAGGTTTTGAATCACTGGAGCAATCAATGCTGTGTAMAGCAACTCGAGAGGATCCATGTTTATATCTTTTGACGTTCCTTTATGATCACCACGAGTGATGRCTCTTTCAACTGAAGATCCAGGCAACGATGGCTGGACATCACTGGATCCATAATAGTTGGCAGCGTGATCACTGTTAAGTGTACCCGGGTCTAGCTGACGTTCGTTTACTTCCTTTTCAAAATCWATAAGAATAAGATCTTCTTTGTCCAAAGACCCAGGCAACGTTGGTTGGACATTACAAGGACCATCAGAGACGTTGATGATATGGTCACTGTCTTGTGGACCCKGGTATTGTTGACTCTCGGTTGTTCCCTTTTCGCCATCCATGAGAGCAAGAGCTTCTTTATCTGAAGACCCAGGCAACGATGGYTGKACATTACAAGAACCGTCAGRGTTCATGATGTGGTCACTGTCTTGTGGACCCGGGGGTTGATGATTCTCGCTTTTTGCCTTTTCACCATTCATGTGAGTCAGA